AAAAAAAAAAAAAAAAAAAAGTTCTTCTGAGCCTTGTACAGTGGTTCATGCCTGTAATCCTAGCACTTTGGTAGGCTAAAGCAGGAAGATTGCTTAAGCTCAGAAGCTTGAGACCAGCATGAGCAACATAGCAAAACCCATTCTCTACAAAAAATTAAAAGATAAGTAAGTTAGCCAGGTATGGTTGAGTGTACCTACAGTCTAGCTACTTAGGAGACTGAGGCAGAAAGTCGGCCTAAGCCCAGGAGGTTGAAGTTGGCAGTGAGCTACAATGACGACACTGCATTCCAGGCCAGGCAACAGAGTAAGACCTTATTCCCTACCAAATAAAATAAAATAGTTTTTCTTAGAAATGTTAAGTGTTGGCTCAGCACCCGTAGCTCAGTGGTTATGGTACCGGCTATATACACCGAGCCTGGCAGATTCTAACCTGGCCCAAGCTTGCTAAACAACAATGATAAATGCAACAAAGAAAAAGCCAGGCATTGTGGCAGGCACCTGTAGTCCCAGCTACTTGGGAGGCTAAGGCAACAGAATCTCTTAAGCCTAAGAGTTTGAGGTTGCTATGAGCTATGATGCCATAGCACTCTTCTGAGGGTGACACAGTGAGACTGTCTTAAAAAAAAAAAAAAACGGAAAAAAAAGAAATAGTGTTTATACACCCTAAGAACAAATGGTAAATGTATTCAGATATTGCTTAGAATTGTTCTTTTTGTGTCACATTCTCTATGCCATATGCCTTGATCAATGTTATCACTCCTTAATTTTCTAGCTACAAAGTACTTCAACAGATAGTTTTGTTTATTTTAAAAAAGGACAGTTTCTGATTCTCCTCATCAAAAATTGGACTTTAAGATAGTTAGATAACTTTTTCTCTTATTATTTTCAATGGACCGGGCATGGGGGCTCATGTCTGTAATCTCATTACTCTGGGAGGCTGAGATCAAAGAATTGCTTAAGGACAGGAGTTCGAGAGTACGCTGGGCAATACAGCAAGACCCTATATCAAAGAAAAAATTTTAAAAACCATTCAGGTGTAGTGGCATATGCCTCTAGTCCTAGCTACTTGGGATGCTGAGGCAGGAGGATTGCTTGAATCCAGGAGTCCCAGCCTGGGTGACAGAACAAGACTCTGTCTCTAAAAAAAAAATTCAGTGGGTTCATAGACCTTTCAATATTATTTGACATATAATCACAAGAATCAAAGGTGGCCCAATCACATCTTTATTTTAAGCATTTAAAATCAAAAACTCTACCACACACTTTCAACCTAAATCAAAACCACTAAAACAAAAAAAATGTTGCTTACCAATTCATACATGAAATCTGGATCTGAACTGTTTGCTAAGAGATCTGTGCTCATCAGAGTTTGTTCTGAAAACGTGTGGCTTCGAAAGGCATCCCCAAAAGGCGGATCCATTCCGCTTACGCTAGGCTACAACAGAGTGATTTCATTTTAGAAAATTCAAGATCAATGTATTATACACCAGTCCTAAACCCACCCCCAATAAGTAACTTATTTTCAGAAAACATTTCTCTTTTCTCTACCATATAGCAGCTTAATTAGCATTGAACTGTAGACTTTAGTTAGGAAAATACCTAAGATGCATTAAGAGCAGAAAAAACAGAGAGCAGCGCTTGTTAATACTGTCTTCTAAAAATTAAGGCTTACTAAGAAACCAGAGATAGCACCCAGTATTTAATGGGTATTTTTATGTATCTATACATGTATAATATTTCTTCAAATCCTTCTCTAACAAACTTTTAACCACCAACAGCAAGGAATTCCCTGCTATTTCCTGATGTCTGCAGAGATCAGTCTCATTCTGTTAGTTCAATATTTTTTTCTCAAAGCAAGCTAGAGGGCAATCTGGGCATCACTAGTTCAAAAAATACCTACAGGAATGTAATGGAAATAGAATTTTAAAAAATACCCCCAAATCTCCTGGGTAAGACCAGGAAGTTGGGCCTGAGCTATGCAGCTTTAATGCTGATCTCTGAAAAGGGTACAATCCATTCCATAATAAATGAAGGGGAAAAAAGACACAGTTTTAATATTCTTTGCTTTTTCTCCATCCTCTTTTCACATTTTAACATTTACACAAATCACTCCAGAGTCAAGTCAGGGCTCACCCTTCTAAAGTGGCTCAAATAACAGAAAGGCCTCACTTTGAAATCTAACTTGGATGAAATAAGAGCAGGAGAAAGAATAAAACTTTTCTCTTTGTCTTTTAGTTCTTCTGCAAGTTTCTACATGAATTTTTAAAAATGGTATTAGTCCATTTGCTTATACTTTTCTAGTCAGACACCATCCCACAAACTTGCCTTTTCAGATACTTCCTCATCATATTTTTCTTCACTGGTACTTCCCATCCCATTTTTTCTTTTTATTTCCCCTAATCCCTCTAAGCCTGCAAGCCTAAAAGACCTTTTTTCTAGAAGTTAGTTTTAGAAAATAATATTTACAGCCCTAAATTCAAGTATTCAACAAATATAAAGCTAAACCTCAAATGGGCAAGAACTCTAAAAGGGTATATGTAGTCCATCTGGTAAGGGGTTGAGGCAGAGATATGCCTTTGGTCTTTTATAATCAGTTAGCAATCTTTGCCTCTGCCCCCTTGAGTCACCAGACAATCACAGCAAATTGTTGATTCCCTGTGTTCAAAGTATAGCTCAGTATGGCTCCAGATAAAGCCATAACTGCCTGCTCATTATTTCCAGGTTTCTTCCCAAGCACTGAAACACACGGGGGAGGGGCAAGAGCTAACCGCTGAAGGAAGAAGGAAAAGCATTTGGCTAAGCAGAATGGGGACTAACAGTGCTTCAATTATTATTTCAGTAATTGCTTCAAACCACAAGTGATAAATTCAGAGTAGGTTCCATAAAATGAAGAGATATAATCCATTCTTAGATATGTTTTACAGGAGGTATTTATGTGTGCATATGTGGGGTGTATATACAAGGTAGGGGAAAGGGAGGAGACAGTGATTGAGGCTGAAGCCCCTCACCATTTCCTAACTACTTCTAAATTTAGAAGGCGTAAGTGAAAAGTAAGAGTTGGAAATGACAACACAAATGAGATAGAAATGGGACATATGAGGCAGACTGACCTTCAGGGAAGTTAGTTCAGGCCTCATAAAGCCAGGAGATATGTCCACCTTTTTTTTAAAACCTAGTTACCATGCTCCCTAGGTTCAGCTCATTAAATTTCAAAGTTATACCAAAGGAAGAAATAGAAGATAATGGAAGGAAGAACATGTACTCAAAACTAGCTGAGATCAGAAATACCTTAAAAAGGTAGTAAGTATGCTAAGTTGTGTTAAGATTCAGAGAACTTACAAAACCAAGGGTACTAACTTTCTGCAGTGGGAAAATATAACTTTGTACCTATTCTGTGTTATTTACCTGAGGCATTTCCAAGCCCAGATCCGAGTCCAATTCCAAACTTCTTTTCTTTCTTGTCTGTAAATTCCTTTCCAGCTTTACTCTTAATTCCAAGGTCAAAGATGATTTTCACAATAAACAGCAGTTTCCCCGAGAATATCTTCACTTCGACTGCTTCAACAATGTGAGTTTTTTTTTTTTTTAATAATTCTGTGGGATTCTGTCAAACAACACAAAGTAACTTCACTCAACTCCATTAAAAACAAGCTGATCTTTGAAAAATAACATTAGCAAAGAATACAATGCTTTAAATCTGCAGTCCCAGCCAGGCAAGGTGGCTCATGCCTTGCAATCCTAGCACTCTGGGAGTCCTAAGCAGGTAGATTGCTTGAGCTCAGGAGTTTGAGACCAGCCTGAGCAAGATCCAGACCCATGTCTACTAAAAATAGAAAAATTAGCTGGGCGTTGTGGCGAGCACTTGTAGTCCCAGCTACTTGGAAAGCTGAGGTATAAGAATTGCTTGAGTCCAAGAGTTTGAGTTGCTATAAGCTATGATGATGCCATGCACTCAACCCCAGGGCAACTGAATGAAACTCTATCTCAAAAACAAGCAAACAAATTAAGTAAATAAATAATCTGCAATCCCCAACTCCCGGGCCTCCAACAAGTCCTAGTGTGTGGCCTGTTAGGAACCAGGCAGCACAGCATAAAATGAACAGCAGGAGTATGCTGCTTCATCTGTATTTATTTATTTTATTTTTGAGACAGAGTCTATGTCGCACTCAATAGAATGCTGTGGTGTCACAGCTCATAGCAACCTCAAATTCTTGGACTTAAGTGAATCTCCTGCCTCAGCCTCCCAAGTAGCTGGGACTACAGGTGCCTGCCACAATGCCTGGCTATTTTTTGTTGCAGTTGTCATTGTTGTGTAGCTGGCCCAGGCCAGATTTGAACACACCAGCCTCGATGCACGTGGTTGGTGCCATAATCACTGTACTATGGGTGCTGAGTCCTTCATCTGTATTTACAGCTGCTCCCTGTTGCTTGCATCACCATCTGCTCAATTCACACCTGAGCTCTGCCTCCTGTCAGATTGGCTGGGGGCATTGGATTCTCATAGGGAGCATGAACACCCTACTGTAAACTGCTCATTCGAGGGAGCTAATCTAGGCATCTAATCTAGGTTGTACACTCCTTGTGAGTCTGATGATCTGAAGGGGAGCTGGGGCAGTGATGTTAGTTAGCACTGGGGAGCAGTTACAAATACAAATCATCATTAACAGAGATGTTTTACAGCACAGAGACCATAATAAATCAATCACTTACAGACTCATACCAAAAGCACTCCTCCCCTGGTCTGTAGAAAGACTTCCATAAAACCAGTCCCTGGTGTGAAAAAGGCTAGTGACCACTTCTTTTAAATAATTAAGGCTCATGTTACACTTTTTTTTTTTTTAAGAGATAAGAGTCTCACTTTGTTACCCTTGGTAGAGTACTGTGAGCAATCTCACAGCAATCACATCTCACAGCAATCTCCAGCTCTTGGGCTTAGGAGATTCTCTTGCCTCAGCCTTCCAAGTAACTGGGACTACAGGCGCCCACCACAATGCCTGGCTGTTTTTTGTTGTTGTTGCATTTTGGCTGGGGCCAGGTTCGAACCCACCACTCACTGAGCACAGACAGCACCCTCATGTTACACTTTCAAGAAATTAGTCATGTCTTGGTACTTACTATTCTGAAATATACCACTCCTCTGTTTATTTGTTTCTAAAATATGGCCCTGACAAAATAACATAAGCTCATTTTTCCTGTGATCTTTAATATGTATTATATTGAATCTTTTTTTTTTTTTTTTTTGAGACAGAGTCTCAAGCTGTAGCCCTAGGTAGAGTGCCATGGCATCACAGTTCATAGCAACCTCAAACTCTTGGGCTTAAGCAATTCTCTTGCCTCAGCCTCCCAAG